TAGAGTTGGGATATTATAGTAAAATTAATAGTTTTCCTATAATTTTTTAGGATTGTATTTTGAGTTAGAGATGGTTTTCATATTTTTGAAAGCTATTCTTTAATACAATGTATAGAGATTTGATTTAAGAGTATATTATTATTAAAGCATCTTTCTATATTACTACTGCAAGTTTGTAACATAAGTTTGTTGAATGTTGGAATGTTGAGTAGTTGTGGATTAGTGAGAATGTTATTGTTTGTGTTAATAGATAAATGGAGCATGTGTTTGGTACATTTTGTTAGAAGGCTAGATAGTTGTTGGAGTTTGTTTTGTAGGAAAGAACATATTTAAAGTAGATATTCTATTGAGGGTGATAAAATAGTATTGAGTAGATGGAATATTTATATAGGGAGAAGTTTTTATATTGAATAGTATGAATAAATTAGAAGGTTTTGTCAAAAATTTTATCGAGTGTTGGTTTAGTTGATCCTTTTCCATCTAGAAAAATTCCTAAGTATCTGATTATTTTATTGGATTTTCTAGGTATAATTGGTTGGTTATTGAAGGTGAGAGGTGTTGTATCTGATACTGTGTTAGATAATATTTTTTTGTTGGGTATAATGTGAATAAGGTCTGATTTGGATGCATTTACTTGGATATTGTTTAGTTGGTAAAGTTCAGATATGTCATTTAAAATGTCTTGAAGATCATTTTTGGATTCACAATGCCAAACTGTGTCATCCATAAAGGCAAGAGGTGGTATTGTTGTTTGTGTTGCTGCAGTTAAAAAGATTGTGTCAAGAGGAGATTGTGAAGAGATTTTGAGAAGTTTTAAGTTGTATTTTAAATTTATGTAGCTGAGAATAGGATTATAATAAATTTTCCAAAGTAATAGTGAGTAAGTTTCTTCTTGTTCAATATCAGAATATAGTGTGATTGGATTGGTAAGGCTATAGGCTGTGATTGCTCTAGCTTTTCTGTCTTGGTGAAGAAATTCAATAAAATTTAGACCTGATTTGGGAATGTCAATATGTTTACAAGCATCTAATAGTTGCTTGATGTTGATTTTGTCAAAAGCCTTGGACATATCTTGAAAGAGTACCCAGGCTTCTTTATGATTAGTTTTGTAATGTTCAATTGTATTAAGTAGTATTTGTATGAGAATATGGGTAGAGCTGTTTTTAGTTACTGTGAAGTTTAAATTACTTAGTAGGTGATGTTAGTTTATAATTTGGTCAAGATGTGTTGTAAAGATTTTAGTAAGGCATTTTTTAATGGGTTCAATGAGTAAGATAGGTCTAACTTGATCTAATGTGAAGTCTTATGAGGATTTCTTTAGGATTAGAAATATGTTGGAAGTTTTCCATATTGTTGGTATTTGTTGTAATAAGAGCTATTTTGTTAGAAAAAGTTGAATAATGTTTTGGCCTTTAGAGTTTAGGTATTTTAGATGTTTATGATTAGTTTCAGATAGACCAGCTGCTTTTTGGTTTGGGAGATCATGTATGACTTGGTTTCATTCTTCTGAAGTAATTTCTGAGAATAGATTAACAAAAAGAGGTTCATATTCTGGATGGGGTTTGTAAAGTTCATAGAATTTTGTGTTTTCTTGAATTGGACTATATGGTAGTTTTTTAAAATAGTCTTGAAAGTGGGATTGTAGGGCTTGTTTTATTTCAGTTGGTTGGGTGATAAGTGTGTTGTTAGATAGAAGACGGTCTAAATTGATACTATTATTGTGTTTTTCTAAAACATTTTGGAAGAATATTTTAGGATTTTGGTAAAAGTTGTTGTTTCTTTCTTCTAGTTTATTTTGAATCTTCTTGAGAGTGTTTCTTGTTTTTCTTTATGAATTTTAGTTTTTAGAGTTTTAATTTCAGTAGTAATAAGAGTAGAAGGAATAGTAGAGTCAGAATTGTAATTTGTTAGTGTTGAGTATAAGGGTATGAGTAGAGTGTTTTGTGAATATTTATTTATATATGAGTTGTAAGTTTTTATGAAGTTGGGTTTGTTAAGATTTTTTTTTAAGTAGAATAGCTTGTTTAAGTTGTTTATAGAGTGGTAAAAGAGAGGGTAATTGCTGTTCAGTATAATATGAATTTAATTTAATTTTTTTTAAATAGAATATGTTTTTGAGCTGCTTTGATTAGGATTTTGTTAATTTGATTCCATATATCATTGAGTTCAGAACTGTGATTTATATTGGTAATAGATGTAAGAAGTGGTTTTAGATTTTGTTCAGTATAGTTTTGGTAGTTTTCAATTTGTTCTTTTTTGATAAGTTTCCATTGATAGATAGTTCTTGTTTGATGAATTGTGTATTAATTTTGGGTATGTCAAATGTAAGTTCTAGTGATGTTATTGAGTAGTCAGTTAAGGTGAATGGGTTAGGTAGGATGTCAGTGTAGTCTAAGAATGTAATATGAACATTAGTCCATATTTGGTTAATTCTACTATGGTTGTTGTTGTGTATATAAGAGAATGTGGGAGTTAGTGGAGAAAAAAGTCTATAAGTGTCATAAAATTGAAGAGATTTAAGAAGTTTTAGAAGTGAGTGTTTAGGTATGTTTAAGTTTTTTTGTGGTAGTCTATCTAATTTGGGATTAGAAACTCTATTTAAGTCTCCCATTAGAATTATTTTGTAGTTAGTTTTGCTAAGAATGGGAGTAAGATATAGAAGAATATCTTTTCTGAATTGTTTCTTTTCTTGAGTTGGAAAGTAAAGTTGGATTAGTTTGATATGAAGATTTTTAAGGAGGATATCAATTTCTAAAAGAAACTTTTTATAAGTTTGAATTTTTCTGATGTGTTTTGCAAGTGATTTGTGAATTAATATTCCTACACCTTCCTGACGAGCATTGCTAGGTGTCCAGAAACATTTATGATTTGTAAGTTTTTGTAAAAGAGTTGAAAATTTTGCCTCTTTGTTAGATAGATGAGTTTCAGAAATTCCAAAGATATCTATTTGGTTTTCTAAAATATAGTCAATTAAACTTAATTGTTTGAATGTATCTAGAAGGCTATTAACATTAAGTGAATATATTTTAATTGATTTTATTGTATTGGAGTTATTTAAAGATGGAATGTTGTTATTTGTATATGCTATAAGAGTAGGTAGTTCAGAATTAGGGGATGTAGTAATTAAAAGAAGATTTTGACATTCTGAAAGTAATAGTATGTTGAATTTTGTTGAAGAAAAGTTAGTTTTGAGTGCAATATGTTGGTAGTTTAAAAGATTTTTGAAGGGGATAAGTGTAAAATTGGATAAAGAGTTGATTTCTTAGGAAAAATAAATATGAGCTTCATATGAATTATTGTTAAATGTTTTGATGAAGATTTTTATATACTGTTCTAAGTAGTATTCTGGGTATTCATTTTGGATAAATTTTAAAAAGGAACTGATTGATTGTGGTAAGGGTAGAAGTTGTAAATTGTAAAATGCAAGAAATTTATTAAAACAAGTAGAGGAATTATATAGTTTGAGTAAATCAGAGATTTTGGTATAAGCTTTCCCTTTAATAGTGTTAGTTGTTGGTAAGTCTATAGTATCATTATAGTCTTTTGTTATTGATTCATCATCATCAATTTTAGTATTTGATTTTATTGATGTATTGATAAAGATATTTGGTATATAGAAGTTTTTTGGAAAAGTTAGGTGTGAGTTTAGTAAAAAGGGATTCTTAGAAGAATGTAATGAATTGTTATCTGAGAAGTTGGATTTTCCTTCTATAGATGTGCTCGTCGTATACTTAGTTTTTACAGTTGCAAAGGATACCATAGCCTGTTCTGTACATTGGGTCTGACCATCATTAGCTTGGTCCTTTGCATAAATAGGCTTTTCTGCTCACCTACTTACATCATCCTCTTTCAAAAATGGCACACTTTTAGTAAAGGACATCATTATTTTGGAAGTGGCAGCTGTATTTATGTTATCTATAGAAGGATTTATTAAAAAAGTGAACTATAAGTAGTAGTTAAAGACATGAAGAGAGTATTATCCTGTATTGAAGGGATTTTAATATTATAGTGTTTAATGATAAATTTTTCTGCTTCTAGAAGATACTTTAGATCATAGTCAAGTTGGATTTAAGAGATAGAGAATTTTAATTAACTTTGGATATGAAAATAAAGAATTATATGTGCTAAAATATGTGGGTTAATAGTAGATGTAATAATTTTTTCTAAAGCTTTGTTTAATTCAAGATCTGAAATACTGTCATTTTTAGTTGTAGTATTTAGATAAACTTTAAGATAAGAATAGAAATAAAAAGCAGTTTGTTTGGAATTGGTTTCTGAATTGTTAATTTCATCAAACTTTTGGTCTGCTTTAATTGCAAGTTCATTAAGTGTATAGAGTGGTATGGTTTTGTTGAAGGTTGCTATATATTGTTGGTTTGGTTTGAAGATTATATAGTCTGGAGTAAATGGTGTAGTTTTAGAAGTTGAGTTGTCTTTTGGAGGTGCTGGGAATGTTTCAAAGGATTTGTCAAAGTAATGAGTTGATATGTTTTTGAAAATGTGTTCTGTGTTATCAGGTAAAAGTTTGCAGTCTTTGTCTTTGCATGTATGAACATAAAAGAGTGCAGCTTTGGTAGTTAGAAAGGA